TCCAAAATTCTGTAAGGCAACTATGCAAGGAATATCTTCTTCTATATCTTCACTACAATTTAGGGGACTTCTTGATAAACAGTCAGCGTCCTGATGTTTTCTTCCGCTCTTGTGCACAACAGTAACATCAAACTCCTGCAGCCGAAGAGCCCATCTTGCTAACCTCCCACATGGGTCCTTGAGGTTGGTCAGCCAGCACAAGGAGTGATGGTTAGTTACGATAGTGAATTGACGTCCAAAAACATACGGCCGGAATTTGCCAATGGCCCAAATAACAGCAAGACATTCTCTCTCAGTCGTCGAATAATTTCTTTCCGCCTTATTGAGCGTTCTCGATGCATAGGCAATAGCTCTTTCCTTTCCCTTTTGAATTTGCGCTAAAACTGCTCCTATTCCATAGTTGATCAAAATGTCCCAAGACAGGCTCAGAAATTAGGGCTGACTTGAGAGCTTCAAATGCGTGCCGCTCTTCTATGTTCCAACTAAACACTGAATCTTTCTTTAAAAGAGCGTTTAATGGTTGGGCTATATGGGCATAATTGGGTATAAAACGGCGGTAGTAGGAAGATAGCCCTAGGAAACTTCTAACTTCTTTTAGCGACTTTGGTCTGGGGAAGTCACGGACTGCTCTAATTTTTTCTGGATCGAGACATATTCCATCTCCACTCACCTTATGTCCAAGAACTGTTATAGTTTTCGCACCAAACCTGCATTTCCCCGGATTGAGGCACAAGCCAGCCTTCCTCAAACAGCCTAATACCAGCTGAAGGCGTCTCAGATGTTCCTAAAAATCATCAGAAAAAACGACTATGTCATCAAGGTAACAGAGACAGATTGTCCACCTAAGACCCTTCAAGAGGCCGTCCATCATTCGTTCGAATGTAGCTGGGGCGTTACATAACCCAAATGGCATCACCTTGAACTCATATAATCCATCTGGGGTTATGAATGCAGTCTTCTCACGGTCCGATTCCTCCACGTCGATCTGCCAGTATCCAGATTGGAGATCCATAGAGGAATAAAATCGTGCTCCCTGTAAACAGTCCAAAGTGTCGTCGATCCTTGGGAGCGGGTAAACATCCTTTTTTGTTATCTTATTAAGGCGGCGGTAATCGACGCAGAATCTCCAGCTGCCATCTTTTTTCCTGACCAAAACGACCGGTGAGGCCCATGGGCTCGCAGAGGGCTGAATAATACCCATTTCTTCCATTTTATTTACCTCCTCTTGAATAATTTGACGTTCCGCTGGTGCTACACGGTACGGTCGTTGTTTGGTGGGAAGGTGGTCTCCAGTGCTAATTCGATGCTTAACATTATCGGTCTTGGACGCTTCTTTTTTTTTCTGAACTCAAAAATATCTCTATAGTTTCTCAATAAATTTCTTAATTTTTATTTTTGAAAATCGTCAAGTGAATCATCTATATTTAAAATTTCCGCAATTTTTGAATCCTCGGAATGGCCTATATCTGTTCCCACGTGGTTGCCCTCAGCAAGTACACATAGCTGGCTATCCTCGATGACGACACCATCGGCCACGTGCATCCCCTGGGGAATTATCTTCGGATATGGGCTCCAATTTGCCACCCACAGTTTTCCCCTGTTACTGGTAAGCGAGATGATAGAGGAGGGAGCCATTAGTTCTCTTTCCAGCGACAGACCTTTTTGACTTTCTGCCACCACAGTTGCATTATCTGAGATGTCTCTGCTTAATACCTCTATCAGCTGACAAGATGCGGGCTCTATTCTGTATTCCCGTTTCGCGTAGAGAGGTGAGTTGTTCTTGGGTGTGTCCTCGACTAGGAATTCCTCTAAAAAAGTTTATCTTCTGCAGAATCAATTACCGCCCTGGATAACTTCAAAAAGTCCCATCCGAGGATCACATCGTGACTACAGTCCTCCAGAACAATAAATTCGAAATTTTCCTGCAGACCATTTAAGTCCAATTTTAAAGAGCAGCGTCCTTTCGGTTTTATAATTTTACCGTTGGCCACTCTTAAGCTCACGTCAGTTTCGGCAAACATTATTTTCTTTAATTTGAGTCTGAACCTCTCGGACACGACAGAATAAGAAGCCCCAGAATCAACAAGAGCACTGGTTATATTTACTTCTATTTTAATATTTATATAATTTCCTTTCATATCCACTGTAGTCGATGAGGGAGGGTTTCCAAATTTTGCGGCCCCACCTCCAAAATAGGTCGCAACCTCTAGTTTTCCTGGCGGGAACGGCGAGGTGACCGACTGGACCCTCTAATAGGCGACGAATGTTGTCCGTTTCGGCCAGGGTATGGGGAAGGGCTTCGGTAACGTCTAAAATTATCCATTGGCTCGTCGTCATTGAGCGCCGGGAATTTGGGACGGGATCCATAGAAGAACATTGGTTCTTGCCTCCCTTGGGAATATCCGTTTTCTCTTTCGTCATTCTGTCTCCTTCTGTCACGGCAGTAACGGGCGACATGGCCAGGGCGTCCGCAATGGAAGCAAATTGGTCTTCCCTCAGTGGTCCGCCATTCATTTGTGTCCAGTCTTTCTCCCTGTTTCGGGTACCGAGCTCTGGGACGGGGAGTCTGGGGTGCGGCCGTCTCTCTACTAGCGATTGGTGACGGCGTATAAGTTTGATATTGAGGGGAGCCTCTGGAAGGATTTGATATTGGAGCGAGGGTTTTATCAATTTCTTCCCTCACCATATCTTCAATGGTGGCGATTCTTGGTTCTTCTCGAGGAGCGGCCAAGGCCCGTTGCACCTCCTCGCGGACAATTTGTCTAATCATGGATGACAAATTTGTATTATCATTGCAGACATCAAGGGATGCTACATTGGGCAAGCGTTCGTACTTGGCGGGGGTCACACGCCGACGATGAAGCGCTTCAATGCGGCGGCACTCAGACACAAATTGATCCGTATTGTTTATGTCTCTTGGAAGAAGCGCCTGATAAAGTTCTTCCACTATTCCTTTCATGAGGTGGGAGATTTTATCCTCCTCGCTCATTTGGAGATCCACCTCTTTGCAGAGTCGTAGGACGTCTTGCATATAGAACTCGGTGATTTCACCCTTTAACTGAGCCCGGATTTTAAGTTTTTTCTCGGCAAGCAGCCGCAGACTCTCACTTTTCCCACATACACTCTCTAATTGAGTAGTAAACTCTTCCCAATTCCGGATGGTCTCCTCATTATTCTCAAACCATTTGAGGGCAGTTCCATTCAGGTAGAAGTAGAAATTGGCAAGACATAGGGTTTCGTCCCAATGATTATGCTTTGCCACACGTTTGTAACCTCTTAACCAGGTAAGGGGATCTTCACCATCCTCCCCGGAGAACATGGAAGGATTCCTTGGTAGGTGCTGAAGAAAATAATTGCCCACCTGGGTAGCTTCCTCTATTTTCACGGTCATCTCCCTGAGCTCTACACTATCTTCTTGTTTAACAGTTTCAGTCCTTCTTTTATGTCTGAAGGGATATCGGTCTTGACGATCCAGCTTCTCCACCAGTTGTAGCGTAGCAGAAAGGTAGAGTCGGTGATCCGCAAACGAAGAACGTTATTTTATTAACCAACCAAACCGAGGTCAAAAGAAGAACAACCGAAAAATATGAATGAATTAATGAATACACGCCAAAGTATATATAGGAATAAAAAATACAACAAACACCTATGCAAAAATCAGGCATTAAAAATAAATTAAAATATTTACATAAAAATGATAAAACTAATTACTCGCTACAATATAAATGCAAATATAGTTAAATGAAATCAATTGTAAAGTATTGTGTGTATTCGAGGAAAACAATTTACAGATTGAAGAAAGTTTTAAGGAATATTTTAGATATGCAAGATATTAGAGAATTATTCAATTAAAACTATGCTAAACAGAGGTAATTTCTAAATAGAAGCGTTACAATAGAATTTAGTAGTTTTTTTATAAAATTCAAAATAACTGCAAAATTAATTAAATTTATATATATAGTCTTTTGTTGAAATTAAATCAAACGGGTTAGATACATGGATATGGATTGCGGGATTCTAAACAAATATGTATAAGGTGACTCATAAAGTTATCTTTATCTTATGAAAGTACTAACAGTATCTTTCCATGATAATTACACTGGGTGAAGAGGTGTAAATAACATATTTACCTATGTAGAAATCAATTTAACCTTTTACTTACACGGAACTAGAGCTCCATTTGTGACTCTATCAAGTCACTGGTGGGGCAGGATTAATGCTAGAATCAGTCTCAGTCTATGGAGGTAAATTAATTAACTCATAGAAATAACTCAATTGTATAAAGAATGGTTGATTAATTATCGAATCGAAAATATATGTGAATAAAATAAAGATTATTATATATATATAAGTGCTAAACGTTTGTAAGTAAATTATAATTCTTATTTTCACCGTTGATCTGTAGATGGTAGAAAATGGCATTTCAAATTTTTATTATTATTATTATGTATAATTCCTGATGTTTAAAACCGACTCGGGATTGGATCACCACATGTTTTTCTGTCTAAAGTTAATGAGTGAAAGGGAACTTCTTTTGCATAAAATTGGATCAAATAATCTTGTTCTGGAGGCTCTGTTGGCTAGAACAACAAAGAATAAATGCAATGCATTGGCCCTGTACAAGTTTTACAGGGCTGTGCAAGAAAAGAAACTGAGAACAGAGAGCCGTATGTAAATAGATATGTAAATGAACGATCACCTGTAAATAACTAACTCATCTTTTCTAAGAAATTATGCAACTGGGTGAATCCTGTATAGTGCATAGGTCCTCAATAGAAGGCTCTACTGTCCTTTTATTATATTTAATTTAAAAGCTTACATTTTCAACATTATAAGAACAATTTAAAGTTATAAAACGAAAATTGCAATTATACCGCGAATGTTTCTTTTAAACAAAAATCGAAATTTATTTTAAAGAGAAATAACGACTATTTCTAACTTTAAGGATGAAGTATGAAAGGGTGAAAATATGAAGAGTAATGGCGAACGCAAAAATAAAAGTGTCCAGGGGCGGGAATCGAACCCACGACCTTCCGCTTACCGGGCAGATGCCATGTCCAGGGTAGCCTAGTGGACATGGCATCTGCCCGGTAAGCGGAAGGTCGTGGGTTCGATTCCCGCCCCTGGATACTTTTATTTCTCCGTTCGCCATTACTCTTCATATTTTCACCCTTTCATACTTCATCCTTAAAGTTAGAAATAGTCGTTATTTCTCTTTAAAATAAATTTCGTTTTTTGTTTAAAAGAAACATTCGCGGTATAATTGCAATTTTCGTTTTACAATCATCAGCCGCGTTATATTGTATTTTAAATTTAAAGTTATATAAATAAAAATAATTATAATGTGCAACTATACAAACATAAGGTAATAAGACCAAATCCATGGATCCATGGATTACCTTGTGTTTATAATCTATAATCCAAATTGTGCCTTAGCAACTATACAAAGTTTTAGCGCATCTTATAATTGCTCTCTCTTAAATAAGAGCAAGAAGTCAAAAATAAGAGATAAATTAAGATGATTACAAAGATAATGAATATTCCACGGGTAAAAAATAAACCTTTAGATTATGAGGAAGTAAAAAAGATAGATTATATTCAAGGTACGAAGGAAGTTTATTCATACAGGACCAAAGCTACAAAACAAAAAGACAATTTGCAAAAAAAAAAAAAACGTATTACCAAGCGGTCAAAGATAAAAATATTAACGACTAGACACCTTTTAAACCCAATCGTTTATTTATTTAATTATCTTTGGCTACCCTGAAGGCTAACCTCAAAGTTACCCTGAAAGTTAGTCTGAAAGCTAGCCCTTGGAAGCTACCCTGAATGATATCCTGAAAGTTACCCTGAAAGTTAGCCTGAAAGCTACCCTGAAAGCGCTAGCCTAAATGCTACCCTGAAAGCTAGCCTGAATGCTACCCTGAAAGCTAGCCTGAAAGCTAGCATTTATTATTTATTTAACAGTTGGGAGAGACACGCCATATCCACAATTAGGATAATTGCGTGTATATCTGAAATTATATACAATTACACAATTGAACATTGGGAAGCATGAAAATCACACGTTCGATGTCAAATTTTGCATATAGTAATTAGAAATAGTAGCTTGAAATATGTACAGTCAACACTTTATCCTTAAAATATACAACCTGCAGAATCTATTAAACTTGATGTATTGGTCTTTATTGTAAGCAACTTGTTTTGTGTTAGTCAGGTAAAGTTGGTTTTCTTCCCTTAGATCAGATGTTAATGGACAGTTTATCAGAAGGTGTTCAGGGGTTTGTTTTTCGCTTTCACAAGTGCATGCAGGTGAACCAATTTTGCTAATTCTAAACGAATATGTGTTGAAGTCACCATGTCCAGTAAAATATTGAACGTTATAGAAGTTGGGTTGAACATAGTTAAGAATTCTTGAAGTATCAAAGAATCCCTTGAAATTATCATTGGCACCTCCATAGTGTTCCTCAAATTTCTGGTTTATAAAATTAGATATAATTTTTCTTTTAGTTGGATCTGATTTTTTGTATCCAATATTTATTTTTAGTATATTTGTCTCAATAAAATCCGTGAGCTTTGGTGTTCTAGCAACAATATGAGTACAGTTTGAAGTTGTTGAATTATAAACCTGTGTACTGTGCTTCAAAATTTTGTACTGCAGAGAGTTTAATTTATCTTTGACTTTTTTGGGTATAACGTTGTACCAGATCGTGGAACCATAAGTTAGTGAACTTCGAAACAGTGTCTTATAAAGTATTATTCTTCTTTTATTATCCAGTCCCCATGCTTTCCCGGTTAATCCAATTAGGTATCCACTAGCTCTATTTGTCTTAGTAATAATCACATCAATATGAGGCACAAAATCCAATTTGTTTTTATTTCTATGATTTTTAAAAGTTATTCCCACAATCTTCAGTTTTTCCACCCGATTGGCAGTGATAGTGTTCCGAATTTTTGCAGCTATTTTGCTATTAAACAAGTATAAGATTTTCGTTTTCTCTTCAGATACGGTCAACTTATTGTTCCCACACCAGTCGAATATTCTCCCCGTGACCTTTCCTGTTGTACTCCAAAGTTCTGTCAAGTTGTTTCCCCAACATATCACAGTTATATCATCCGCATAAGCAATGATATTACTGTTTGATATTCTGAATAGTTATCCAATAAAAATCGTTTAGAATAATATTTCATATTGTAGGGGATATAGGTCCACCCTGTGGGGACATCTCTTGCTTAATTTTTTATGGGTTTCATTTGATGAATATCTAAAATTCTCACTCTTCTATTATTAAAGAAAGACTGTAGTAGTTTTATTATTGAATCTTGAACGTTGTCATCATCTAGTCTTTTTAGCACCATCGGCCACCATGCATTGTCGAACGCTCCACTTATATCAACTGCGATTATAGCTGTATATTCTTTGTTTTTATGTTCTAGAGCTATTTTGGCAATTTCATTTAATGCAGAGATGGTAGATCTTGATCTTCTAAATCCATGTTGACGATTGTTAAGCAGATTCGAGTCTTCATAAAATTTTATTAGTTTGTTGTTAATTATTTTTTTCAAATATTTTGGAAATGTTTGAGTTGAGACAAATGGGTCTGTAGCTTTTATAACTTTTCATGTCTGTTTTACCTGGTTTGGGAATAATTACTACCTCAGATTTTTTCCATTCATTCGGATAATAATTTAAATCTAAGCATTTTTGAAAAGGTTTCACCAGTATTGGAACTATTAGTTGTTTGGTATGTTTTATCATATTGTTAGAAATATTATCAATTCCAGGCGTTTTATTTGAGTTCAGCTCATCAATTATTCTATTTACTTCATTGGGCGTTATTGTTATATTTTCTTTATTATGAAATCCTAGAGTATAGTTCCTTGTGTTTTTGTGTGGAAGGTTGTGTCTTCATTATCTCTATCATCGGGGAAAAGGTTGTTCTAAAGTTCCATTGTCTTCTGGAATCGTTCTTCATCTTTATTCACTTCTAAAATTTCCAAAAATCCCTTTCGGTTAGAACCGTTTTTAATATTTTTGTATACCCTATATAAATTTCCATATGGGTTTTTTTTATTTGATGTCCTCTAAGAAAAACCTCCAAGACATTCTTTTAGCCTTATTTATTTACCTGACGTATTTGTTTCTTGCACTTTTATACTGTTGTTCAATAAGGATAGAGGGATTTTTTGCCCGATAATAGGAGTTACGGTGGTATTTACAATAGCTCTCAAGGCATGTCAAGTCCGCGTTCCACCATCTGTTTATGTTGTTTTTTATTGGATTGTTTTTTCTTAGTTTAAGAGTATTATATGTTGCTTCAATGAGCGTGTTCGAAAGTTCTTTTACCGCGCTATCGACGTCTTTCCTTGTATTTGTTGTTTCTAAAAGGTTTTCAATATTATTTTGATATATTTTATTGAAATTATGGCCAAAATTTGACCAGTTCGCCTTTTCTTCACTGAATTTCCATGTGGAATAATTAGTAGCTGTGGTGAAATTATCAGTTGTATGTACTTCATAGATAATTGCTACATGATCAGAGATCTGCGATATTTGTTTTGTGTGCCAGTCTCTGATAGCTGCTATTGCTTGTTTGTTAGTCAGCGTAGGATCAATCACACTAGCATTTCGACATGTAGTGGATTCATTATTATGTATGATTAAGTTCGTTTCGTCAATGATGGGGATCAATCTATGCCCGTTGAAAATTTTTGTGGAATCATACCATAATGGCGATCTGGCGTTAAAGTCACCACTTATAATTAGGGGCGTGTTTATAAATGTTTCAGTTAGTGCTCTGAAGAATGTTTCGTGCTCCTTTCTCATAGAATTGGGGTGAATATAAATGTTTGATATAGCGATCTTCTTATTTTCTGTTTGTATAGTAATGGTTGTGGCGAAGGAGTTAGTGATTTCTTTTATTAGTTTAATTTTTAACGCGTTGTTTCTAACAATTATTGCTGTATTTATATTTGGACTGTTCTCCTGATGATATATTATATTGTTTCCTGGATAAATTATTTCTTATTTTATTTATAAGGCTCCTGAATCATAATTAAGTCTGTGTTTATAAATTTTTTGGATGAACATAGTTCACTTATGCAGGTATTGCTTTTCCTAGCATTTTGTTGAATAATTTTAATTCTATCAGTAGCTGTGTTTCTTACATTCAAATGCATTCAAATGGTGTTTAATTCTTGTTCTCCTCTTCTTGAATTGTTGGATAGTCGGTACGCTGCATCGTGTTTTTTTATTTCTCTTTCGTAGATCGGGCAAGCTTGGTTATCGGAAAGCGCTAGCCTGAATGCTACCCTGAAAGCGCTAGCCTGAATGCTAGCATGAAAGATACCCTGAAAGCTAGCCTGAATGCTAGCATGAAAGATACCCTGAAAGCTAGCCTGAATGCTACCCTGAAAGCTAGCCTGAAAGCTACCCTGAAAGCTAGCCTGAATGCTACCCTGAAAGCTAGCCTGAATGCCACCCTGAAAGCTAGCCTGAATGCCACCCTGAAAGCTAGCCAGAATGCTAGCCTAAAAGCTAGCTTGAAAACTAGTCTGAATGCTAGACTGAAAAGTAGCTGAACATAATTAAATAAACGTTTCGCTTTAAAATGTCTTGGTCATTGATATTTTGATCTTAGACCGCTTGAATGACTAATATTTATTTCGAAAAAAAAAAAACATTATGCTAAACATTAAAGGTTCTATAACGGCTGTCTATAAAGCTTAATTTTAAAATTAGGAAGGTTTTGGAGCAATGCACGAAGTAAGAGCACTGGAAAGGGGGGGGGGGGGGGGGGATGCCATTGCCCCGTTAGTCAGCGCCACATTTCAGAGTTCCCTGTAGGCCTTCACGTAGCGGCTCGGGGCTCACAACACCGTACTACAGGGCAGTCCCTTACTTGTGCTGCTTTTCCCGCCCGCCACGTAGAGGATGACTTCTGGGCAGGAGTAAGAGCAGTAAAAAGTACCATAAATAAAAATAAATACCTTGACATTTATATGTAGATAAAGAGAAATACAATCCTAGGCCGTATATGTAAATAAATTCGTAAGACCGATTAGCAAAAATGTCAATTACCGAGCAGAAAGGAGGCCATTATGATGGAATCAATCGTGGTTCAGACGA